TTTGCTTTGCGGGATATTTGTTTTGCAACATATCATAATAATTTGAATAAGGTTGACCTACCAAAACTTCTGCAAGATTCTTCCTTTTTCTTTTTTTCTTTTTGGTGTAAATAACATTAATTATATTTTAATTAAGTTATAATATGAGTATAGGAACTAATTAAGTATAATAACCGCAAAAGCATGGCTGCATGCTTACACTGGGGATATCTTTTACCAACTAATGACAATAAAGGGCTGTTGTCCTGTAAATTGATTTAAGTTACCAATTATCTAGATATGACATTGTTAAGGGTTTAGATTATGGAATTAGGGAGATGGGTTTTCTAGTTTTCTTATAGGATTTCTGGGTTTAAAATTTAAGGTTTGAAGCAATTTTAGTAAGACTTTAATTGCAGAGCAGGGAAATTTCAAGGGATTGAAGGAAACTTTCAGCCTTTAGGAAAGAGAAATGTTTCTCTTCATTTGGTTTTACGAGTTTAAGCTTGACTCAAGTAAATTTATGCAAGTTTGAGTTTGATCGAAAATTTATTTTTAAGTTTTAAGTTTAACTTGAAGCCCAAGAGCTTGACTAATTAAGTAATAATCTTTTACATGAATGTAAATTTTATCATTTCTAGGGAACATGTTGCACAACTTTGTCTACATTTTTGTTTTTAATATTTACACTTAGGGTGTTCTAGATTAATTTTTATACAACTTGAAATTAATTCCTACTTAAGAAATTTTAAAGATAAATCTTTACATTGATATGATACATTCAAGAAGATTAATTTTTTTGAGTGTTAATTCTAAAACTTACACCTTACATTTAATTTATAAGATGACACTTATTTATTAATAAATTTAACTCTTAAGGTTACTTTATTTACTCTTTTTTCATCATCAATAAACACTCTCTATTGTTAGCTGTTAGTAAGAGCTCTTTTTTAAGGATTGTTTTGAAGTAAGGAGTTATCCTTAGTATCCATGTTATGAGGTAGAGTATGATTGAGATGTGGATGATAATAAAATATGGGATTGAGATTGACCTTTTGCAACTTCTATCCATTCTATTAATTTTGCTCTCCAGTTTCTTGTTCTTAAATATTAACTTCGATTCCATTTTAAATATGGATACCAAATTTCAAAGTTGGGGCTTCATGGAGGTGCCAAAAAAAGTTGTAGGATCATTTTGATACAAAAAGCACAAAGTTTAGTGACCAAAAGATTTTTAATCCACACCAAACCCTTTAAGTTAAGTGGCCTCCGGCCACCTTGAGATGCATCCTCTCTTCTTTGAGCGAGTTTGAGCCCGCCCCATGCTAACATTGTTCAAAAAAAAAAAAAACAGATTTTTAATCCGTTTCACAAATGTGTGGGCATATCTATGGTAAGCATAATGATGATCAAATAAACATCAAAAATCGAACGACGCCTGAGAGATTCGAACTCTCGCGGGGAGACCCCATGTACTTAGCAGGCACACGCCTTAACCACTCGGCCAAAGCGTCAGATTCTTGGTGG